TCTCTTTATCTTAATACACATGGGGTTCTTAGTTGATTGTGCATGCCATTGCCTGTCTTGAGATGGGAGTTCCACTGGTCCTTTGATCCTAGTGTAGTGTGGCCAACCTTTTTCTTCAGTCCTCACAGCAGTTTCAGTGGTCAGCAGTATTTGAAATGTGCCCTCCCACTCTGGTTGTAATTTTGAGTCCTTCCAGGTCTTGATCAGGACCTACTCTCCCAGTCAGACAGTATGAACCGTGAATTACAGCAGTGGAGTTGGGGCAAGCAGTCTTTTGTTTCTGAGGAAAGACAAGGAAGACAACAACCCCAGTAAATAGTTCTTAAGAAAACTTTCCTTAGTTTCAAACTGTGGAACTTCATCAACCTCACCCATGTAAGGTAGTCCAAATGGCATTTCATAAGACAATATCCCTAGGTCTTTTCTAGGCAAGGTTCGAATTACCTCTTTTATCCAAACAACTGGGTTTATCTTTTCCTCATCCTGTTCTGTTAATAGAGCTATTGAAACCAAAATCTGATCCCTGTAAGTTTTCATTTTTAACCCTGGTTGTACAATTAAATTTCTCTCTAGCAATTTGCTTCCTGTTTCAGGACTGTATACAATTGTCCTTGAATTGTTTTGCTATTTAATTCAAGGTAGTGTCTTCAAAAATGGAAACTGAAACTCCCTCTCCTTTTACTCCTGAAACAGTTATCCTTTGGTTTAATAATTTCAGTGTTCCTGATTAAGTGTATGATTACATGTGCACATGCATGCTATTAAGTGTATGGCTCCACATGTGCATGATTATGTGTGCAAAGTGTGCTGTGCCTGCACAGGGCTGTTGGTGAGCAGCGTTTTCGGAGCTGTGGCTGGGGTACAGCCGTCTAATCAGCTTGACTGCACAAATTCAAACAGCAAGTTGTGGAGCAAGCATTTCTACTGCAGGGTCAAACAACTTTCCTGAAATACTTTATAGTATTTCATAGTCCTTTATAGCTTTTCCCACCTTCTCTTTTGTAAGATCAGTGAAAGAATTTACTGTTCCTGAAAGTGAGGGATTCAGACTGCTGGCTCGGCCTGGCTGCAGCAGAGGGAGGCACCGTGTGAGCCTCACACAGCCAGCTCTGCCAAAGCAGCTTGGATCTGACCTGGCATATGCACTCATCCTATGCCAGCCCTGGACATCCCCAATGCATCCTGCCCTGGCAGGCCTCTTTCCAGAGAGGCTGTGTCAACTGCCCTTGTCACCATCACATGACTATACACACACAGCAGTGATCTGAGCATGGGTAGGCTCCTCTGAGCCCTGTGACACTGCACCCACCACAGCTGCAGATGCTGCACCTCCTGCTCATCAGGATTTTCAGGAGGTGGGCTATAAACTATTTGGGGGGAATCATATGGAGGGGGTAAACTCTTTAGAGGATCCCATGCCTTAAGTTCTTCAGTATTTCCCTTAATTTTCGTTTGTTGTTTTTAAGGGGAAGAAGTGAACTGCAGGGAGGGGTACAATTTCTACCTCCTGCTTCACTGTTGATCCTGATTCAAGTCTCCCAGGAGACCTCTTACAATTCTCACACTCCCAGCATACTGCATAATCAGACTCTTCTTGTGAGAAAGGTTCCTTAACATAGAATCATAGAATAGTTAGGGTTGGAAAGGACCTTAAGATCATCTAGTTCCAGCCCCACTGCCATGGGCAGGGACACCACACACTAAACCATGTCACCCAAGACTCCCTCCAACCTGGCCTTAAACACTGCCAGGGATGGAGCATTTACCACTTCTTTGGGCAACCCATTCCAGTGCATCACCACCCTCACAGTAAAGAACTTCTTCCTTATATCTAACCTAAACTTACCCTGTTTAAGCTTGAATACATTGCCCCTTGACATTTACATATTTTAAAGCTTGACATTCTCATGTTTCCTCAGCCCCATACTTTGGCCAAAAAGCAGCCAGTGGCTGAATACTTTCTCCATATAAAACAACAGTATTGTATCATCTTTTTCCTCTCTTTTCCCTTTGTATAAGACATGTCTTTCCAATTTTTCAACATCCTCCCTAAGGGACTTTCTGGAGGAATATTATTCCCAGGATGATTCCTCTAATCCCTTCTCTTTTCCTTAGGCCTATTTTTCTTATTCCCCATTCTGTTTCCCGAGACTTCCTTTCAACAAGTCCTTACACTTTGTCCTTCTCCAGCTGCATCCCTCACGGAATAACAGAAACGTGGATCCAGACTCCACACTTGTTTCGTACTTAGTTGTACATCTCAGACACGCACACTCACTCAAGTCTCTTAGAATGTCCCAACCACCAAGGTAATACTTGAAGTCCAATTTTCTTACCTTGGTACGTGCACAGAGTTGCCTGGTTGCTGCAGTGGTGCCTACTTTTTCCTCTGTCTCTTTCCCCCCCTCTGGTTTACTGGGTCTACCTTACAAAAATGTTCTCAGGATTTCAGTCAGTGGCTGCGGAACCCCCGTTGGCTCCACACGAGGCCTTTGAAATCAACGGGACACGTCTCCCCCTCCTTCGGCGGCAGAGGTCCCATCAACTATGACTTGATCCCGTATGAGCTCCCAAATTGTGAGAAATGGTCTCTAGATAAAAACTTAAGCTCAGGGTAGACACAGCAGTGAAGCAGCTATTTATTAACGTTTGTGCAAAAACAGGTATCCTGGCAAGTAGGCACAGACAGCAAAAGCTGAACTATGATTTATATTTCCTATCCCATCCGCAAGTTCCCGCCCTTGTTTCCCCATTGGTTGGGGACTCCAAGGTTTACAGCCTATCCAATGCGTATAATCTACGTGCTAACTGTCCTGCCTCTGGTTACATCTCCCATTACTTGATTTCGTATGTCCCTTCCTCTTATTTATTCATTTATTTCCTTTTATGGTTTGATTTCATAACTCTCTGGCAGACATGTGGTACCTCAACTTACTGTTTAACCTGCCTGCGCCTGCTTAGTTTCATAGGTTGTAAAAAGATAGTATTCTTTTTAATCGCAGAGTGTATCTTTAGTCTAGAGATTATATTGTCTTTAACCACAGAGTGTGTCTTTCTAAGCTATGGAATCTCAGTTTGTTTTGTTTCCTAGTAACTTAGCCCCAGCCCCAGTATTGAAAAATCTTAATATTGCAAACCCTTGATATTGATCTTAAAACTTGAATATTGTAAAGCCTGAATATTGCAAAGCCACATTCCCAATTATGCGAAAACAACAGTTTCTCTCACAGCCATGGCTCCTCATCCTGTCACCTCTAAAGAGTCTGGGACCATCTTCTTGGCACCCATCTTTCAGATATTTATATGTATTAATAAGATTCCCTCTATTTCAGCTATTAACAGTAAGCGTCCTTCCACTCAAGAGGGAGGATATAGAAGGTACACATCATAGGGTGCAGAGTGGGAGGGTTGACCTTAGACCTGATCCTATAGTGAATTCTAATCTGTTTTTACAAGTGGAGAAATAAGTGTTATTTAAATTCTTCTGTCTTATGCATACTTCATTAAGTTAATATTTCTCCTCAGTCTACAAGCTCAAATTGTTACTTTTATTTCTGAATCAGCTCCTTAAAATACTGATTTTGCCTGAGGAATGCCAGTGTATTTGTGGATGAGTGCCAGGAGGTTTGCAACCAGGGAGAAGAATGTGCTGTCTCAGTAGCTGATGAAACAAAATTGTTCTTTTCCTTCCCCACTGAGATTGTCAGATGTCCTAAAGCCTTTTACTTTAGGAAACACTAGTTTCCAAATAGCCTTAGGCTTGAAATCTAATTTAGTATGGTATCAAGTTCCCTTTAGAGTGTTCTGAGCCTAAGCATCATCTAAGTGCTCTTACTCTATAAGCAGTAAAGGAAACTTTTCCTGGAGTGATATAATTTAGTATGAATTTTGCATGGTTTGTTAAATTTTCATGACCAGTTTGGCTCATGTTAATTGCTAAACTAGCAGCTTAAGGGAGGCTGCTACTTTGGTATTCAGGAAGTGTTGAAATACTGAAACTGGTACATAACATCTCCTTTTGCTTCACTGAAATTTACCCTTATTGTTAAACACTGGTTCAGTTATGGCACCAATATCAACATATGAAGTGCTGGTATCACTGAATGTTCCAGAGTTTGAGGATTCCTGGTTGAAACACAACACAATAAAGAATCATAGCTAGTTTATTAATACAGGAAAAATATAGAGGTAACAAAAGATACAGTAAAGGATATCTCTGATGTTTGGTTATCTTACCAACCCCAAGGACCATGTAATGACGATCAGGAAACCAGCTCTGAAAAACATCATTTCAGTGCAAGGTGGCAGGCTCAACCTTAGCGGGCATCCCCTGGGAGACAATGTTGACCTGGGTGACATGAGGCTCTGCCTATCCACATTGCCTGAGGCTCAGGCCTTTATACTAGCAAAAATGCATACTCATTCTGCCTACATCAGAAGTGGCCAGCTATATCTAGAAAGGTCTCCAAGGGTTGGGAGTTTTCCAGGGAGGAGCCAAAGCAGGACCTTCCCAGGAGGCACTACCACAGACAAACAGTACTTTTCTATTTTTGTGGGTTCCACCACAGAGCATTATTTAGTGTCACTGACACACTGAAGCATTTTAAATTATGATGTTTAACATTTTTTATTTTGCTGTGAGTAAGGCTGTGAGAGCACAGAGCATCTACAGTGATTTTATCTGTAGTATGGTAAAAACAAGGATGGGGAGGAAAGTGATGTTTTGGCAGCACTATCACCTCTTCCTGAATATTAGAAAGTTATGTTTTTTGCTAGTGAAAAATGTGTAGTTTGTCTATTCTTTTGGAAGTTGAGTCATTGAACAACTTTATAATATTGGCATATGCAGAATTAAAATGTTTATTTTGATTAAATAATGAATTAATTTGACAGTACTGCATGTGATTCCATGCACATAAGTATATATATAAGAGGTTATATAAATAAAATAATGAGCTATGCTGCTTGAAAATAATCCCTCCTAAGCTATCATCTTTTTCCAGATTTGTATTATGGTGGAGAAGCTTTCTCTGTAGAGCAGCCACAGTCCTTTACTTGTCCTTATTGTGGAAAGATGGGCTATACGGAAACATCTCTTCAAGAACATGTTGCTTCTGAACACACAGAAACATCAACAGAGGTGGTAAGCCACTTCAGCACTGTTTTTCAATTACAATGAAAGTATATGAAAATTTAGAGAAAATTAGTTGGTTTTCTTTTTTTTAAGTATGTGTTCATTTAAGTGCTGACTAGGAAGGTATGTACCATACATACATACACACCATGATGGTGTTTTCCTTCTTGACTCCCTGAGCTACTAAGTCCCCAGCTCAATGATACTACATCTGCCTACAACATCACCTGACATTCTCTCAGCAGTCTGAGTCAAGGTTATGCAGCTGAGTCCTTGGATCCTTGCTATGCAGGCCACTAAATCCTGATGTTACAGAGAGGGTTAAACCCTTGTAAAAATAAATAGCTTTCAAATATATTTTTTTTATAAAGCAGCCCTTGCTTTTTCCCTTTACCCTACCACTTGATTTCTCTGATGATTTCAACAGTAGAGATTGGTGCAAAGCAATTACGGAACAATTACTTTGCTTCCGTTTTTGTCAACAAGTGTTCTGATTGCCTCAAGTTTTTATATCTAGATGTTACTGTTGCTTTTGCCAGAAAGTCAGAAATTTTTCTGAAATGTGAGGTGACTTTGCTATGTAAATGATAAAATAATAAATAACTTGGATTTTGTTACTATTAGAAATGGTTTCTTCTCAGCTTTCATTTCAGTGCTGAGAAACATGCTACTTAGTGTTTGGACTACTTTCTTTTTAGAAAAGTGTAGCCCTGGTTTTAGATTTCCCTTTATGGTGCAGGGGTATGGTTTGTATTTATTTTGAAAGCCCATTTAACTAATTCAACGGTTACGTGTGTTAGCAAACCAAGGTTAAATTGTTGCCCACAAAATTTGGGTATCTTTCTAGCAGTGGGTGATATATTCATGTTTGTGTGTGAATACTGTTTATGCCTGAGGAATGTATGATTATAGAAGGACATTCAGGGAACTGTTGTCTGTTGTTTTTTTTTTTTGTAGATTCCCATAAAAACATGCATGCTTGAGGAAAATAATTAAAATCTTAATAAGTTGTGGGGAAATGACTTGTGACTTTGAACTTCTTTGTTCTGACCTCTAAGCTGTCTTCACTTTTTGAGAAATTATGTGGGAGGAGAATCTCTCTCCTTAGAGACTACTAAGGGCCTTATGTGAAGGAATAGTAGAGGAGGTAAGACTGGCAAATCCATTCTGAGACTCAAAGGTGTCTTAGTCTTTCATAAGAACATATAAACTATTGGCATATATTTCTTTATTTATAGAACTAAAACCTCAGTAATTATTATTTCTCCATTAAAGGATCAAGGATAATGATCAGCAATACAGGGCAAGTGTGGACAGACATGGCTGGCATTATGATGATTATTAATGTTGCCATTGCATTTCAGTAGAGCAGAGTGATTAATAAATAAAACACAGCATTCAGAAGTTTTTTAGGGTTGCAGCTGTACAAACTGTAAGAAATGCCATCGGATATCATAGAATCATAGAATAGTTAGGGTTGGAAAGGACCTTAAGATCATCTAGTTCCAACCCCACTGCCATGGGCAGGAACACCTCACACTAAACCATGTCACCCAAGGCTCAGTCCAACCTGGCCTTGAACACTGCCATGAGTGGAGCATTCACAACTTTCTTGGGCAGCCCATTCCAGTGCCTCACCACTCTCACAGTAAAGAACTTCTTCCTTATATCTAACCTAAACTTACTCTGTTTAAGTTTGAACTCATTACCCCTTGTCCTATCACTACAGTCACTAATATTTTAAGTTTCAGAATAAAGAAAGCAGTTTTCTGCTACTCAATTACACTTAGATTCATTCTGTACTTACTAAGGCAGCAACTAGTCTGAAGTGAAAGGACCAGGTGGGGTGGGTCGACTTTGGCTGGCAGCCAGGTTCTCACCAAACTGCTCTATCTCACCTCTCTCCCTAGCAACAGGATGGGTAGAAAATATGGTGAAAAGCTCATGGGTCAAGATAAGGACAATGACATTACTTAGCCATTACTGTCATGGGCAAAACAGGCTTGACGTGGGAAAATTAGTTTAATTTATTGTCAACTAAACAGAAAAGAACAATGAGAAATAAGAATAAATCTAAAACCACCTTCTCCCATCCCTCCCTTCTTCCCAGGCTCAACTTCACTCCCAACTCTTTTACCTCCTTTTCCCTCCCTGAGGGGGATGGGGAATGGGGGTTGCAGCCAGTACATCAGATATTGTCTCTGTGGCTCCTTCCATATAATATTCTTCCCCTGCTCTAGCATGGAGTCCCTTCCACGGGATACATACTTCATGAACTGTTCCAACATGGGTCCTTCCCACAGGCTGCAGTTCTTCAGGAATAGACTGCTCCTGCATGGATCCCCCACAGGGTCACAAGTTCTGCCAGAAAAATCTGCTCCTGTATGGGTTCCTCTCCATGGGCTGCAGCTTCCTTCAGGGCACATCCACCTCCTCTGGCATGGAGCCCTCTACAGACCACAGTAGCTGAGCTTGGTTCTCTTACATTTCCTCACTCCTCTCTCACAGCTACTGCTGTACAGCTTTTTTTGCCCTTTCTTAAATATGTAATCACAGGCATGCTATCGCCATCACTGACTGGCTCAGCTTTGGTCAGGGGTGGGGCTGTCTTGGAGCTGATTTGAACTAGCTCTGCAGGCCATGGGGGCAGCTTCTGGTGTCTTCTCAAGCCCAAAAAAAGTTTTTAACATGTACGGCAAAAAAGGGAGCATGGCACAGATCAGATAAATTAATATTAAGAACATATAAGTTAATATCATGATCAGCAACAGTTAAACATATAATAATGATATGTTCCCTCTAATATGCTCTGGTCAAATCTGTCATTATCTCAAACACTTTGAGTCCCACATTGGGTGCCAGAAACGTTAGTTGTGGTTTAATCCCATCTGGCAACTAAATATGACACAACTGCTTACTCACTTCCCCCCTGCCCCTACTGGGATAGGGGAGGGGACAATAAGGCTGAAAGTGCAAAAAATTGTGGGTTAAGATAAAGACAGTTTAATAGGTAAAACAAAAGCTGCCTATGCAAGAAATCAAAATAAGGAAATCATTCACTCCTTCCCATTGGCAGGCAGATGCTTAGCCATCTCCAGGGAAAAAAGGGCTCCATTGTGCATAACAGTTAATTAGGAAGACAAACAACATAACTATGAACGTCACTCCTTCTTAATTCTTTGTTTTTTATTCCTGAATACGATTGCATATCAAAGAATCATAGAATGGTTTGGGTTGGAAGGGACCATAAATATCATGTAGTTTCAACCCCCTACCACAGGCAGGGACACCTTCCACTAGACCAGGTTGCTCCAAGCCCCATCCAAACTGGCCTTGAACACTGCCAGGGCTGGGGCAGCCACAGCTTCTCTGGGCACCCTGTGCCAGTGCCTCACCACCCTCATAATGAAGAATTTTTTTCCTAATGCCTAATCTAAATCTACCCTCTTTCAGCTTAAAGCCATTTTTCTTGTCCTACCACTACATGCCCTTGTAAAAAGTCCCTCTCCAGCTTTCTTGTAAGCACCCTTTAGGTACTGGAAAGCTGCTATAAGGTGTCCCCAGGTACTCCTCCAGGCTGAATAAGCCCGACTCTCTCAGCCTGCCTTCATAGGAGAAGTGCTCCAGCCCTCTGATTATCTTTGTGGCCCTCTACTGGACTTGCTCTGACAGGTTTACGTGCTTCTTATATTACGGGCCTCAGAGCTGAATGCAGTCCCCCAGGTGGGGTCTCATGAGAGCACAGCAGAGGGGGAGAATCTCTTCCCTTGACCTGCTGGTCACGCTCCTTTTGATGCACCTCAGCATACAGTATCACAGTATCACAGTATGTTAGAGATTGGAAGGGACCTCAAAAGATCATCTAGTCCAATCCCCCTGCCGGAGTAGGAACACCTAGATAAGGTTACACAGGAACGTGTCCAGGCGGGTTTTGAATATCTCCAGAGAAGGAGACTCCACAACCTCCCTGGGCAGCCTGTTCCAGTGTTCCGTCACCCTCACCGAGAAGAAGTTTCTTCTCAAGTTTAAGTGGAACCTCTTGTGTTCCAGTTTCTACCCATTTCCCCTTGTCCTTTCATTGTTTGCCACTGAGAAGAGCCTGGCTCCATCCTCGTGACACTCCCCCTTTATATATTTATATACACTAATAAGGTCACCCCTCAATCTCCTCTTCTCCAAACTATAGAGACCCAGATCCCTCAGTCTTTCCTCATAAGGGAGATGCTCCACTCCCTTAATCATCTTAGTTGCCCTGCACTGGACTCTCTTCAGCAGGTCCCTGTCCTTCTTAAACTGAGGGGCCCAGAACTGGACACAATATTCCAGATGGGGTCTCACCAGGGCAGAGTAGAGGGGAAGGAGGACCTCTCTCGACCTACTAACCACCCCCCCCTCTAATACAACCCAGGATGCCATTGGCCTTCTTGGCCACAAGGGCACAGTGTCGGCTCATGGTCACCCTGTCGTCCACCAGGACCCCCAGGTCCCTCTCCCCTACACTGCTCTCTAACAGGTCGTTCCCCAACCTATACTGGAACCTGGGGTTGCTCCTACCCAGATGCAGGACTCTACACTTTCCCTTGTTATATTTCATCAAGTTATTCCTCGCCCAACTCTCCAGCCTGTCCAGGTCTCACTGGATGGCAGCACAGCCTTCTGGCGTGTCGGCCACTCCTCCCAGCTTAGTGTCATCAGCAAACTTGCTGACAGTACACTCAATTCCCTCATCTAAATCACTGATGAATATATTAAATAATACTGGTCCCAGTACTGACCCTTGAGGCACTCCACTAGATACAGGCCTCCAACTAGACTCCGCCCCATAGACTACAACTCTCTGGCTTCTCTCCTTCAGCCAGTTCACAGTCCACCTCACTACCCGATCATCCAGACCACACTTCCTCAATTTAGCTGCAAGGATGCTGTGGGAGACCGTGTCAAATGCTTTGCTGAAGTCAAGGTAGACCACATCCACTGCTCTGCCATCATCCATCCACTGTGTTATT